TCATTGTACCTTAATTATTACGTTAAATCCTTTCATCACCACAACAAGACTAAACTTTTTAAAAACTACCAGTACCTGTACTTATTCTTTACCTTATCTGTAGTCAAGGGATCTCTCACTTCAGCCACTGGAAACTGTATTTGAGGTGTTGTCTTCACAAAACCGAGGGGTGGTTCTTCACTTGTTCCATTGACAAATTAAAGGATGTTTCCAAGGGTGACAACTCTGCAGCAACTTGATGCACCTCTAACACTTGTAGCAGCTCAGAGTCAGAATTGGATGAATGGTTTTCGTTCAGCACAAATTCCACTTTCATCCTGATATACAAAAGACTCTGGCCAACCAATTTCTTCACTACATTCTAATCATACTCTGTTTGTTTGCTTAGATGAGATCAAATGAATATTCTTACGGATTGAATTAAATTAATCTAGACTTATTATATTTAATGGAAAATAGAGCAATTAAATTAAATGTATACAGACATCATAAAATTACCATAAAAGCCCGCGGATAAGCGGCACTTTTTTTTCCAAAATGGTCGCTAGAAGTTGGGGGTGCGGCTTATCTGTGGGAACATTTGAAAAGGGTGTCGTGACCTGAACGTCCATTTTCACGTCCGATCTAATGCCTGGTTACTAAACTTTCAATGTTCTGCCCATGTTCTTGTTGAAATGCAAAAATCTATGGATAAACTGTGTTGAATGAAGAAATTCCTGTCAACAAATACCAGAAAAAGACCAATCATATGTCAAAGTTGGTAGAAACGATGTTCACTATATTAAAGTGCTAAAATTGTAGGTAACACTTTGAAGTATTTTCCGTTGCAATGTTAATGATGAGTTTTCATTCCATGAACAGTGGATGAAGAAGACTTCTCAAGACTCGACTTTGAATTTCTTTTGATTTCTATCAAAAAACTTTTTTTTCCAAAATTTTGAGCTGCTAAATTCGGGGTGCGGCTTATCTGCAGGTGTGGCTTATCCGCAGGGTTTTGTGGTCAATGGATTTAAAAATATTCCATGTAATGTAAAATGGAACAAATAAAAAACATTTTTAAAATTAATTTAAATACTGATTTGAACATATATAACAATATTGAATATTGCTATGATTGGCTTGTCATACCCATGGTTGCCAAAAGCATGAAAATTATGCAAAATCGTTCCATGTGTAGATTGAAATATTTCATAAAATCATGGCACTGCAACCCTGAGATGTGAAACCTTGTAATTTTAGCCTGGCTAGTTAATCTCTTCTCCTGCAATAACTGATTTTAAACAATCAAGAAGTTCCACCAAAATACAAGCAAGTGATGAACAAGCTGTGCTAATTCAGTCTATGACATGAAGTAGTTGCTGAAGCTTAAATTTCTCTACGAAAGATAAACCAGTCTAACAAAAAATGTTTCAACCCCTTGATGCCTAGGATCTAGTTTCTCTTTTCAATATCACCCCTGATCACACATTGAAGTCTCGAGAATAAAATTTACATCTTTTTTATGATTTTTATTCCTCTTCTGGTACCGCCTAACCACAATTGCAATAATCCCGATGATAAAAAGTGTTACAACAATTGGAACAGCAATTGGTACAGCCAGATTTGCTGAAACAATGACAAGATACAAAAAGTTAGAGAGACTTTCTAAGATTACAATTACTGGTACTTTCAAGTAGTTATATCCATGAGTCACTTTTTCAACAACAATATTATTAGAAAAAAAAACAACTAAAAATAGGTAAGTTAGTAGAAGTAAATTACATTTTTTCAGTCTAAATGTGTTAAGTACTTCATCCTCAACTAGGTGTGGGTAAATTTTAAATCAAACGATTTTGAGATGCATTCTGATGTTGTGGTACAGAAAAAAAAAAATGATTGGCTGAGGGTTCACACAACAGATTGAAATTTAAGATTTTCTGACATAGCCTGCACAAATTCTTGCACACTGACTTAAAAAGGTTTTGCTTTGCACAGTCATGCAAGTGAATCAACTTTATGGAGTACCTGCAGCTGCCTTTATGTCCTTCTGATGACCTGTTGGCTTATGGACTGATCCAGAGCTAACATTAACCAAAACACTAGCTGTAAAAAGGAAAAAAAGAAAACAATTTGTCATTTCCAGATTTTACACAACAATTATGATGGTCATAGCCATTGCCATGGTTGATACAAGTTAAAGGGACTTTCTGGGATTATAAATGTTTTCAAGTAGTTATATACTTTAGTCAATTTTTCAATGACAATATTATTGACAAAAACAAAATATGGGCAAGTGAATAGGTCAGAAGTAGCAAACTACATTCTTCTCAGTCCATAAATGTTTTAAGTACTTCACCCCTAAGTAGATGTGGGTTAATTTTGAATCAAATGATTTTGAGATCATTGTGACATTGTGTTCCAAAAAAAAAAAACCGTTGGCTGAGGGTCCACACAACAGATTGAAATTTAAGATTTTCTGACACAGCCTGCACAAATTCTAGCTTGCAGACTGACTTTAAAAGGTTTTGCTTTGCACAGTCATGCAAGTGAAACAACTTTATGGAGTACCTGTAGCTGCCTTAATGTCCTTCTGATGACCTGTTGGCTTATGGACTGATCCAAAGCTAACATTAACCAAACCACTAACTGTAAAAAGGAAAAAAAGAAAAAAATTTGTCACTTTCAGATTTTACATAACAATTATGATTGTCATAGTCATTGCTATGGCTGAAAATACATGCAAGTAAATAGGTCAATAGTAGCAAATTACATTATTCTCAGTCTATTCATGTTTTAAGTACTTCATCCCCAAGTAGATGAGAGTAAATTTTGAATCAAATGATTTAGATGCAATGTGATGTTGTTGTGTTACAAAAAAAATAAAAACAATGGCTGGCTATGGGTCCACTTATCAGATTAAAATCTAAGATTTTCTGACACTGCCTGCAGATTCTTGCATACTGATTTTAAAAGGTTTTACCTTGCACAATCATGCAAGTGAATATTCAACTGCAGCCAATAACATCAAAAATGACTTCGAATCATTTTATGCAAATTAAACTGGACTAAGAACATTCTACTGACAACAACTATTCGCTTGACTCTGTTGATGACTTCCACACAGATTGTCAAAACATCAGTCACCACCACTGACAACAGTCCTTCTCAGGACTACACTCACCCGGACGATCACATGACACTTTCACAGACAGAGAAAAATTTGTCACTTCTAGATGATACTGAAGGAATATCATTGTCATAGCCATTGCCATGGTTGATATGTTCAAAAAAGCTTAATTTAACAAATTGTTCATGTATACTCATTGACTGATTGGTATCTCTCAGGTCCAGAAACCCAAACTTTGACAAGTATCAGGTGCAATCAAGAAACAGAAATCAGAGTATGCAAATTTAAAATCATAAAAACCCTTGTTTAAAAATAGCAGGCAGTCAACTTCAATAAAGCAACAAACAGAATACTTACCTTGCGTCTTGGTGTAATTCAGGGTATAATGTTGATCGTGTCGGTGTTCCGTCCCATTTTTGTCGTGAGTAGTCACGAGAACAATAAGTTCGTGTAAAACAACAGATTTTCCTCCTAGTGCCGTGTTTGTGAGGCTGAGGTTGAACACTGAGTAAACTCGCACCTGCCTGGTTGAAGTAACGTTTACTTGATTTGTGAAGGTGATATCAGCATCCTCCAAATTAAAATCCCGAACCATTTTCGGGTTCACTCTAGCCTTAGACTCTCCAGCAGAATTGGGAAGAAAAGAAAGGAGGCTGCCGCCACTTTTTTTTCCATTGACTTGTGTAAAGATGTAAACCTGTACTTCGTCCACCGAAACGATGGCACTTGAGAATAACATAACGTTCTCTACTGTTAAGTCATGCTGAAATTTGTTTACTTGGATGGTTTTAGGTGGCAAAGTATAACTGCCATCATCGTTCTTTGCACCTTGCCCTACGATCAGAAAGCACAGACATCTCGTTTAATATACTATAATGTATGAGATCAAGCCCTCTAGGATATCAGTACGAAAGGTACTGACTCCTAATACAGGCGCACAAGTAAAAACCAAAGATCCCTCACCCTCACATTGCGAAGTAAGAAGCAAGAAATAGATCACAAATAGACCGTAATCATGCATAGCTTTACCGAACATATTAACAAGAATCGATTGTTGAATGATCGTTAAAGTTTTGGTCGTTACAATATATGTACAAGTAAAACAAAAGATTTCGCACCGTCATGCACCGGAAGTTTCGCAAACGTGTCATTTTGCCAAAGTCACGTCTCGTCTCATGTCAGTTCGTGAACATCCAAAATAAAGCTTCTAGATGAAACTAATCGTCAAACAGAGAACTTGCAATTCACCAATATGATTCGGATTGTCGATGTTACTCATTACAGACCGCCATTAATGTTGAATCTCTAAGTTCACCCCAATCCCCCTCAAGGATATCACTACGAAAGATTCCGATTGTTCAGTCAGCTACTTACTTCTCAATCGTGCTGCTATGAAAGCCCCACGGAAATACCTGATTAAATACATCACTGCTTTAACTATTCTATGCCGCAACGTTTCCTGTTACATTCTACTTTAAAGGTAACGAAATAACAACTTACCTGATAAACAATTGTAAATATTGTTTCCTTACTCGGAACTGGTCAGCTCAGACGACCACCACAAACCGTACAATATTATCCAAACTTTAATGATTATTCGATCTAAGAGAAATACATTTGTAATTCGAAATCAGAAAACGCAAATTTAGTCTTAATCTCAGGGCAAAATTCAAGAAAACATGACTGGAAACTTACTTCTGCGGCGGGTCGTAAAAACAGATTTCTCACTTCAGGTTAGCAGATTCGGGTAAGCGAACAGATACAAAAATCGACTTCTCTCTCTTACTGATTCTTCTGAAAAACTGGTTTAAATCACGACAAGCTAACACTTTAAATCATTGTGAGGAATTAATGTCAATCACGAGTTGTGTTAATTAAATTATATCTGTCATCA